AGATGAAAGGAAACGTTTTTCTCCCTGAGTCTGGCCTTCATAATTCCATTCCATCACAGATGTAGCACTTCTACAGAAACTTTCTTCAGTATTGGAAGTGTCAGGCTGAGGCTACGAGGCATCCCCTTAAGCAGGGGCATTAGCCCAGGTTATCAACGAAATCAAGATGGTGGGTGCATCAATGTGATTGTTTTTGCCATCTTGATTTTTTTTTTTACCATCTCTTCCCCACGGATGCCCTAATCGTGTTGTCTTCCCTGTGCAAAGCTCCTCCCTCATACCCAGTTGAAGCAAACAAACATTTTGCCTTTGCACGAATCAGGCTGTGAGTAAATAAGTTGCAGTGTGAACAAGATGAGAAAGGCATGTCTTGTGAATCGGATGTCTTGTGAATCGCGGGTCTAGATCAGGGTTTCTCAACCTTGGGAATTTTAAGATGTGTGGACTTCAACTCCCAGAATTCCCTAGCCAAGAAGTCCATACTTCTTAAAGTTCCCAACATTGAGAAACACTGGTGTAGATGAATTCACATGGTCTCCTGATAGGATTATCCTGAAACTGATCTAACGGAGCTAAAAGAAGGTGGGGTGGGAAACATGGGAGATATTTGCAGAACATTGGAAGTCACTTTTAAATTGAGGATACAGTTCTTGAAAGGATATCATTTTATGCTTCCCAGAAACACTGTTGGCCTGGGTAAAAGGAGGGAAATTTCTGGTTGAAAAATTTGGAAAAACCTTTGGAAAACCACTGACCCTAGATCCCCTACTGTTGGGATTCATTAGGAACCTAGGGAAATAATGTTTTCCAATGGCATTATTTCCCTGTTTTATTTTAATTTCAAGATTTTATTTATTTATTTATCATTTTTATATGGTCTGGACAATATTGATGGTGTCTACTGCTTGTTTTAGAACATCAAGAGTACATTGAGTTGAATGGGAACTAATGGAGCCTTAGCTCCAGTACCTCTATAGTTCAGATTCAAATGCTGGGGCTGGAAACATTTGCTAGGAGAAACATAGGTCCCTTTTTCCACTGGAATTATCTGTGCTGAATGCATTTCCTGGCTCTGATCCATGCTCTGTGTAGGCTGACAAACTATTGGCCTTGGACAGAAGTATCTTGTATGTGTGCATTAAAGCAACTCATCTGTTTCTTTCACTCATTTCATTCATGTTATTTGGAAACTACATAGGGGAAGGCGAATGGATTTCTTCCTGTTGACTGTACCACAACTGTTTACATATTCAGCAGAAATGTAAAAAGGGTTGGCATGCATAAGCTCCTCCATGAAACAGCAGATAATAAATAATCAGGACTGGTGATCAGCATCGTATGCATAAGAAGATAAGCAGTGCCCTGCTGGATCAGACTCCTGGCCCATCTAGTCCAGCAGTCTGTTCTCACAATGGCAACCACTGCTAATCTTCTAGAAGGTGGCCTTCAGAGGCAGTTGCATTGCCATCAAGGCTAATAGTCATTGATGCTTATAGAAAAGGCATCTTCCACAGGCCTTGCCCCTTTCTGGTTAGCCCGGCTCTAGCAAAGGGAGGAAGTAAAGTATTTACTTTACATCTAAAGTATTTGCCTTGTCTCCAGCAACCAGCCAGCCAGCTATTGTAGGACTACTGAGTTTTTATTTGTTTGTTTGCTTGCTTTTATATCTTACTTTTTTGTTCAGGAAATTGGGGTGATGTACATAGAATTCCATCCTCCCATTCCCCCCCATAACAATAACACTGTGAAGTAGGTGGGGCTGAGAGAGTGATTGGTTCAAAGTTACCCAGTGAGTGTTCATGACTAAGGGTATACTAGAACCTGGGTTTCCCTGGTTCCAATCCAGCACCTTAACCAGGTTTCCTCCCCTTTAGGATTTGGTACTCTAAATATTGTGAATGTTGTGTAAATCTTGGGTTTGCCCCATATGGTGTTTGATTACATAAGGAAACAAACTCAGAGACAGAGCTTAGTGTTAACATGCAGCAGAAGTGGGCATTTTTTCCTGGAGAAGGCCATACTGTACCTTTGGACAATTTGGTGGGGATCACACTCCACAAAGTAGGCTGGTCCTCACTAAAAAAAAAAGGCAGGATGAATACAAAGAGTTGGTTTGGAGTTGGCCAGCACTGAAATTGCATCAAATAAATAAATAAATAAATAAAATATTACATCTGATTTAAATTGAGTTAACATTTAATTACTTACCCTGATACCAATATGGTTCCTTCTGATATATTAAATATTATGCATTTTGGAAAAAAAAATTGGAGCAGCTGGAGAGGCCACTCAAAGGCTGGGGACCAATATTGTCCTGTACAGATGCAACCAAACCATTCTAGTTCCCAAAGGCTCTATCTCCCAGAATTTTTTTTTTTTTAAATTAAGGGTAACTTCTAAGTTTATAAACTTTTCACATTGGCTTTTTTCATTCCAGGTACTACAGGAACAGCAAAAGTAGTGTAAGTATATATTTTGATACATTTTCTCTCTTTTGTGTTATGTTTTCCAGGTATTAGAGAGTACATAACAAGGTCATGATAGCTTCTAACTACTTTTGGCAGATTGTCAGTTGGATCACACTAAACCCTACTTTGTTTATTCTTGGTTTATTGGATAAAAAAGTCAGTTTAGTGTAGTGGTTAAGGCACCAGCCTAGAAGCTGGGAGATGGTCAGTTCTACTCCCACCTTAGGCACAAGGCCAGCTGGGTGACCTTGGGCCAGGCACTCTCTCTCAGCCCTAGGAAAAACCTTGCCAAGAAAACTGCAGGGCAGTCACCAGGAGTCAAAAACTGATTTGAAGGCACTAAAAAAAGAGAACAAACTACAATTATTATGTTCGTACAGCTTGATTTTGGCTTAGTATGTTCTATGAACCCAGGTTTTGTGGTTTGTAAATCATGGCTTAATATGCTGGATTAACCCAATCAGTTGTGGCTTATTCAGCAAACCAGTCTCACAATGAAAAAAGCAATTACATTTCTGCTTCCCATGCTTTCTCTATCTCATTGGTAGATCAGGTGTTACAGTAATTGGATGATGATGAAGCAATGGGTTTTAGTTGGGACAACTTGACAGCAATGAAATTACAATTCTTGTGAAGCTAATTATAATAGTAGTAATGTGCCTTAGAAATATCATTCTAGGAATATCTTCTAAGAGAAGCAGAGTGAAAATGCAAAGTGCTCACATATCTCAGAATTTGTGATCAGTTTGTTATCAGAAGCCAATCAGAGCTGCTCAGTTCAATAGGTAAAGCTTTCCCAAGAAAAGATGTAGTGAAGGAGAAGGCTTCACCAGTGAATCTTACATTTTTGTTGCTGTTGTTAAAGGCTTATGTACCTGAACCTATAGGCTTGTAATGGTATGTGGGAATGACTTTGGGAGATGGGGGAAAGAGATTCTGCCTAGGGAATGATGAGATAAGAGGGGGCATAGCCTGCAGCTGTATAATGGGTAGAGACAGAAACTCAGAAAGGATCCTTCCTAACTTATCAGACTGTAAAAAAGAGATGGTGGGAGATTTGTACTTTCAGACTTGCAAGATTCTGTTAATGTAACTTTATAATAAAGTAAAATTAGCTCATCTGGTTATGTTTCCTGTCTGGTCTTCCTTGGGAAGGCTGACAAGGTTGGAAGTATAATCTCCTCCCCCAGAAACCCTCTGGGCTTTTGCACCCTAGCCCCATTGAATGTCTTGGTGTAGCTAGTTGGTAGTTACTGCTACCACAACCTATCTTCCACAGGGTGCATCACCTGATATCATCCCCCTAACCTTGGTGTGTGAGAGAGATAGGGCTCCTACAATTTGTACTGCCATGTTTTCTAAAAAGATAAACATGGAAAAATGAAATACTTTCTGCATTCTATAATATAAACTCTTGGATGTGTAGCTTAGAGTAACTAGACTCTTCCACCCTTCCGTGAGAGACAGAATAATCTCAGCAGATTTAAACAAAATCAAACTTTAATTAGAATGAAGAAAAAAATAAAATATGGAAAATGTTCACTGCCAAGAGTTCCATTGGTTAGGTGGGCTGTTACATATATTTGTTTAGTAAAATAAATAGGTAAAGAAACAAATTCTTTTTAAACTTTGCATGTTAAAATCCAAATAGTCAGTGTTGGTTACAATTACAACAAATGACAGAATTTTTCCATTTAGGGACAGCATCTTAAAAGAGAATAACAAAAGCTAAAAGCAATGCTTCCAGTAGACCACAAGATGGTGCTGGTCTGTTTTTATTATCTTGGATATAGCCTGAGATGGAAGTAAAAACAGGAAAGCCTAAGAATTTCTCTAGATTGTGCAGAGAAATAGAGATAATTGAACAGAAAACAAAAATTAAACTTAATGTAGGTTTTATCTAATATACAACCTTTAAAACTAATTTTATCACTGTTTAAATTGTTTCCTTGAAATTCCATTTTAATCAGAAGCTAGAAATAATTGATTCACCTTTCTCCTTCTCCTCAGCACACACTTGCTCCATTCCCCTGGAGTTCTTTTTTTTTTTTTAAGGATCAGAAATATCGTAAATCCAGCAAGAAAGGTAGAAAGTAGGTATCTCTCTCTGTACCTACATGTTACAACTCAACTCTCCCTGGTGAATGTTGATTGAAATTTAGATGCCAGCTGGCTGTTGGCTGGCTGTCAGTGAATATGGGGGGAGGGGGGGAGAATTTGCAGCTTGCTCTTCATTATGAATTAAAACTCCTTGTCCTCTTTAAAAACATGGTGGCAACCTCATAAATCAAAAGGCACATTATAGGGTTTTTACATCTGGCCTGCAAAAATCCAGATGACCACTAGAAGGATGCCAAGAAATACAGAAAACTCTGTATTTGTAGGATATTTTGTTTACAGTCTGATAATTTACTCCTAAGTGCTTTGAATCAGACAGTTTATAAAAAGAACTTTTTTCCAAGGTTTCTGTAAATATATAGTTTACTTAATATATGCTATGGTCAAGGAATGATTATTATCATATTCTTGCAAATTAATTCCTTTCATGATTTTTCCTCTAGCAAATTCTTATTTTTTTCACATTTAAATACTGTAGTTTAATTCATTCTCCCTCTTTACCAGGCTGAGTAATAAAACAATCTAGGCCTTTTGATGACATTCCCAATTTCTTTGCAGCATTAATTTTGTCTGAAATTGTCACATGTGACATATTTAAGTATTGGGAAGGGTGATCTTTTATTTTCTTGAATCGCTCCATAGTATGATAGTAGAAACATTTTTACTGTTTTCTCCAAAATAAACTAGCTTTCTTCCAATCCTTATGTGTAGTAACTGTGAAGTTTCACACTCTATCTCATTATTAATAGTTACTATTATTGTTTACATTTCCTTAGTGCTATTTTGGGCTTGGGACACTGCAGTTGGGTACTGTTACAGCAATGTTTTTCAACCCTGGCAACTTTAAGATGTTGGGGTTTTAACTCCCCCAAATCCCCAACCCGGCTGCCCGGCGGGGGGATCTTGGGGGGTGAGGTCACACCCCTTCAAAATGCTGAAGGGTGGGAAACACGTTTGAAGGATATCAAAAGAC